TGGCAGATCAAACAGATCTCCAGGGAGGATGTTGCAGAAGGACAGTGCCACAGAGAATTCTGAAGATTGATTGCATTGCTTAATCAATGGGATCTGCAGGAGGCCAACTCTGTCAGTTCTTACAGGATGGGCAGAAACCACAGGAAAGAGACGGTCCCACAGATAACTAGTCATATGCCATATGGGGCTTTTACACATGACAATCAGCATTTTGAAAATCTCCTCCCAGATGGCTCTAAACAAATAGGAGGACTGATACTCAGGTGGCTAGGCTAGTAGTACTGCTTCTGCCCATCTTGTCAGAATTTACAAGCTGGTTGATAGCACCAGCAAGCCAAAGAGCAGTCTGTCCTTAATGAAGGGCAGAGAATATCCTGCCCTGGGACAAAAATAAAATGTGTGATTTCCAGCATGTATTGGGCCCTCAATTGTTCCATTCTCCACCATCCCAACTCCAGCCCTTTAGACCATAGGAACTGTTCTTCCACACATCAGTGCTGTTTTCTATTACACAAGTTCTCCCCTCAGCTGGTTCTGCCAAAGTGCCCAGCCTGGTCAGTTAAGTCTGCAGTGAAGGTATTATCACATATCCAATGTCTTCCCCAAACCTAATTCTATTATTTAAAAGAAACAGACCAAATAAAAGAGGAGGTGGAGTTGCTCTCTATATAAGAAATAACTACATCTTCACAGAAATAGAGTACAACAATGATAAAAACTGTCTTGAATGCATTTGGGTCAATATAAAAGGGGGGGAAAATGACATTGCCATAGGTGTATACTACAGACCACCCAACCAAACAGAGGAAATAGATGAACTTTTTGCTAGTCAGCTAACTAAGGTATGTAGGAAGCACATCACAATAGTAATGGGGGACTTTAACTACCCTGACATCAACTGGGAGACAAACTCCGCACCAAGTGGAAGATCAAACAGGTTCCTGGCAAACCTAGCAGACAACTTTGTCTCCCAAAAAGTAGAGAATGGAACTAGGGGATTAGCCATTTTGGATCTAATTCTCACTAACAGAGATGAAATGATAGACGGTGTTGGAGCCATAGGAACCCTGGGAGGAAGTGATCATGCAATATTAGAATTCAACATTATAGAAGCACAACCAATAGAACACAGTCAAACTAGAGTCTTGGACTTCAAGAGAGCTAATTTCAATAAACTTAGAGAGGGCTTGGGAAGGATTCCATGGATGAGAATCCTCAAGGGGAAAACAACTCAAGAAGCTTGGGAAATTTTGAAAAATGAGATAATAAAAGCACAGTCTAGCACAATACCAACAAAGAGGAAAAATAACAGCTCTCAAAAGAAACCAGCATGGCTGCATAAAGAACTCTCTGACAAATTGAAAAATAAAAAGGACAAGTATAGAAAGTGGAAAGAGGGGAACATAACTAAGTCAGAATATCAGCAAATAGCCCGAGCCTGCAAAGATGAAGTGAAGAAAGCCAAGGCTCAAAACGAACTGAGGCTTGCGACCAAAGTCAAAAATAACAAAAAAAGCTTCTTTCAACATGTAAAAAACAAGAAAAAAGTGAAGGAAATGATTGGTCCATTAGTGGGTGGAAGTGGCAAGAAGGTGACAAGCAACAGGGAGAAAGCAGAACTATTTAACTCATTTTTTGCATCTGTCTTTACACAAAGGGAAAAAACAGACCAACCTATCAAAAATAGTGCCACAAAAAACAAAACAGAAACACAAGTTAAGATAGGCAAGAAAATCGTTAGTGAGCACCTGTCCAGCCTAGATGAGTTCAAATCGCCAGGACCAGACGGATTACACCCCAGAGTTCTCAAGGAACTGGCAGATGTGATATCGGAGCCACTGAACTATATTTTTCAAAGATCCTGGAACACAGGGGAACTACCAGAGGACTGGAAAAGAGCTGATGTAGTTCCCATCCTCAAAAAAGGAAAAAAAATGGATCCAGGAAATTACAGACCTATCAGCCTGACCTCAATACCTGGGAAGATCCTGGAAAAGATAATCAAACAACGAATCAACGAACACCTAGAGGCAAACAAAGTCATTACTAAAAGCCAACATGGGTTTGTCAAAAATAGATCATGCCAGACAAATCTTATTGCATTCTTTGACCAAGTGACAAAATTAGTGGATCAGAGGAATGCTGTGGACATAATTTACTTGGACTTCAGTAAGGCATTTGATAAAGTAGATCACAACCTACTACTTGACAAGATAGAAAAATGTGGGGTAGACAGAACCACCACCAGATGGATCCGTAGCTGGCTGACCGGCCGTACTCAGCGAGTGGTCCTCAATGGAACTGCATCTATATGGAGGGAAGTGTGTAGTGGGGTGCCCCAGGGCTCTGTTCTGGGCCCAGTACTCTTCAACATCTTCATCAACGATTTGGATGAAGGGATAGATGGGGAACTCATCAAATTTGCAGACGACACCAAGCTGGCAGGAATAGCCAACACTCCAGAAGACAGGCTTCAGATACAGAAGGATCTGGACAGACTTGAACACTGGGCACTAACTAACAAAATGAAATTCAATGGTGAAAAAAGCAAGGTTCTACATTTAGGCAAGAAAAACCAAATGCACAAGTACAGCATAGGTGGCACCATGCTCAATAGTAGTAACTGTGAGAGGGACTCGGAGTCCTAGTAGACAATCACTTAAATATGAGCCAGCAGTGTGCTGCAGCTGCCAAAAAGGCCAACACAGTGCTAGGCTGCATTAACAGAGGGATAGAATCAAGATCACGTGAAGTATTAATACCACTCTTCAATGCCTTGGTAAGGCCACACTTGGAATACTGCATCCAGTTTTGGTCACCACGATGTAAAAAAGATGTTGAGACTCTAGAAAGAGTACAGAGAAGAGCAACAAAGATGATTAGGGGACTGAGGCTAAAACATATAAGGAACGGTTGCGAGAATTGGGTATGTCTAGTTTAACGAAGAGAAGGACAAGGGGGGACATGATAGCAGTATTCCAATATCTCAGGGGCTGCCATAAAGAAGAGGGAATTAAGCTATTTTCCAAAGCACCTGAAGGCAGGACAAGAAGCAACGGGTGGAAACTAATCAAGGAGAGAAGCAACCTAGAACTAAGGAGAAACTTCCTGACAGTGAGAACAATTAATCAGTGGAACAGCTTGCCTCCAGAAGCAGTAAATGCTCCAACACTGGAAGTTTTTAAGAAGAGACTGGACAGCCATTTGTCCGAAATGGTGTAGGGTTTCCTGCCCGAGCAGGGAGTTGGACTAGATGACCTCCAAGGTCCCTTCCAACTTTACTACTATTACTATTACTATACTTATACAGTCCCTTCCATCTCATACAGGTAAAGATCCTCCTCTACAAGCAGGCCTCATTTTGACTGAAAACTAAAATGTAAAATGTATTTTAGATTTGGCTTTTGTATGGCTTCCCTCTATATGTTTTATTTAATGCCTTAGGATAAGCTGGCATATGCTACCTGTGCAGTCTTAAAGCAGAATGCTTTTTGGTGATAAGGATGGGTTGTGGTAAAGAGGCCCCACTTTGATCTTTCAATTGTTAGGTTATAAAAAAACAAATTAAGGAACATGGTGCATAGCATGATTTGGTGCACAGCATAATTTGCAAGAAGTCTTGCTTTGGAAGCAAAATAAGACACTATTTTTCCTGTTTTTATTTTTAATTAGATAAAAGAAGCAAAACGAGTAAAAAAGGAAAAGGGACACACATGCATGCATATAAATACCCAGGCAAGCAGGGAAGTAGAGGAGAACTGATACTGAGAATCCTTAGTCTTAAAAGAACAGAGAATAGTTTTGCAAAGTTAATAGTGGATTAAACAGAGTTGTACTCCCACTTGCTTTCCTTGGAAAAGCCATTTTTCTAGTAGGAACCAGCAGCTCCGCAAACCCCTAAAAGAGTCGGGCAGGCAGGCTTATGTGAAATTCTAGGGGCTTGAATTTCAAATTGAAATTTCAAAAGTGAGCAAACTGACCTATGTTTTGAATAATGCAGATGCTCATTTTCGAATGATATCTTAGAGCAGGGGTGTCACAATGAAACCGTGCCCACCCCATTGCCGGCAATGGGGAAACAGCTCCGATACATTGCGCGACATCACATAACATCGTGAGTTTGATATGTCTGTCTTAGAGGCTTTTACTTACTCTATAGCAGAATAACAGAGTTGGAAGAGCCTAATCCTATCCCCTGCTCAAGCAATTTCCCTCTCCCCCACAATATGGGATTATGTCATTTTGTGATTGATTTTTTTTAATTAAGAATTTGAGCCAATTCAAAATCTTTAAAGCAACTTTTTAAAACTCTCTATTTTGGGATTTTATATAGAAAAGTGGGGTACAAATAGTCTTATAATATCATTTAAGGTGTTGTTTTAATTTAACAATTGATAAAAAGACAAATTACTGAACAGACTACCTTTTCTACCTATACACACAGAAATCCCTTTTTTTAATTAAGTAGGATAGAATCTAACTTTATAATCTTCATGTTTTTTTTTCTTTTTCAGGTGTAAAAAATACATCTCAGTGCTGGAAGTATTCCGACTGTAATGTAGACTTTATTTCAAATCATTTCTCAACAAAAAACTTCAGATACAGGTGCTGCCAATGGAATTTGTGTAACGATGCTCCAAATGTAGTAGCTAGCAAGATAGCCCTCAGTGGGGCTTTCTTGCTGACTGTTGCTCATATCTTAAAGTTTTTAGTCTGGAACTGAAATGGGGCAATTTTTTCCAGTTTAAAAAGCTACATGACACTAATGTCTTTTGAGAAGTATTCCTGTGTTGGAGAAGATTAAATTAAGATACAGTATTAAGTAGATAAAATTTGTTCACTATCTGCACTTTTCATATTTTTTCTTACATTACTCAATTTCTATTGGAAACTTACATTCAATCTGTAAGACATTCATATTAGCCAAATGTGGACTTGCTTGTGTTGGGAACAACTTTTGAATCTCGCAACTACATTTTAACTTGTAAGCAATTGTTGCAATAAAAGTGCTATTGTATATTTAAGCCTGGAATGGATTTTTTTTGTTTGTTTGTTTTTTGTTTTACCTCCAGGCTCTTTTTGATGCCTCAATTGAAGCTTCTTCAGTATGCTATACCAGTGATGGCAAACGTTTTAGAGACCGAGTGCCCAAACTGCAACCCAAAAGCCACTTATGCATCGTTGGGTGCCAGGTGGGTGTGGCCCATTGGGTGGGTGTGGCTGTGGTGGTAATAGCAGACTGGGACTAAAAAGTTCAAACAATCAATTCCAACTTTGCAAGATCTTTTTTTCCCACAAGAAATTGAAATTGATTGATTGAATCTTTTTTTTTGTACACGGCGGCGGAGGCCTAAAGTGAAAAGGTTTTATAAAACCCAGCTGAAGGCCTAGGACTGGGGTGACGGCGCGCGTGCCCATGGAGAGGGCTCTGAGTGCCGACTCTGGCACCCGTGCCATAGGTTCGCCAACCACTGTGCTATACCATTCTAGTTGTAACAGTAAATGACACAACATCTCCTTGCCAATTTCATTGGTTGTTCCTTATCAACATTTAGTTGCTTATCTGTGATTAAATGAACTGTCCAAATTCAGACTGGCTACCATTCCGAAGTAGCACTTTGAGGCCTATTTATTTAGTACTTCTTAAAGTAATGTCAGTACTAATGGGAAATACTTTTTGTTTGGACAACATGCTTAAACTTAGAAAAGCCACAGCTTGGTATTAAAAACTGAAAATAGGAAGCAGTGAAAAAACGTGTTAATTTGCCTGTTGTCTGGGGGCCCCTGTGTGTGTGGGGGTGCACTGTGCTGGGGTGGGTTGGTTGAAAGTCAAAGAGTACCTCTGTACTCTTGGGGTTTTTTACCTTCGTTTAATTATTATGCTTTTAGAGTTATTTATCACATTTTAGAATCATCCATATACCCCACACAGGGACTCTGGCAGTGTATAGTAAAATATTAAAATATGAAAACAGTATAAAGTTAAAAATTTAACAAAGAGGCAAGATTAAAAACTGTTAAAAATTAATTGAAAGGTAAAGGGACTTTCAGAGTACTAACCCTAGCTTTTAAGCTGCATGCTCCTATGGCTCCCCATGAAGGCCACAAAGCCATGTTTTCATTCCTTTCTGGAAAGCCAGGAGAGTGGGGGTGTTATGGTTCCGGCTAATGAAACACTTCAAAGAACTTCCAGGCATTTATTTTCCTAAAAGTCAGTGATTGTTACAAAATGTCGGCACATGCATAATGGAGGGATGCTAGGATCTAAGTTCTCTTCCTCCGAGCAGTTAAATTATCAGCATGTTCCCTCCCTAAATTAGCCCTGTATATCACATTATCCAATTAGTGTGAAGGTCAAATGTTTTCTTCCTCTTTCTTTTCCAGGCTTTATTCCCACCCCCATTCTGCTCTGTATTAACCCCATAATTACCAGACAATTCTGCATATTGTCAAAAGCAAGAATATACAATATTTGCAGTGTTGACAGAGCCTATTTCAGGGTTTTTTTTTGGGGGGGGGGAAATGCAATGACTCTCTTCCTGGACCCCACCAGTCAGAATTTTTTAACTGGCAGGGACTGCAACATATCTAGTTATGCTTTTATGCCATTGTAAGCCATCTAGAGTCACTCTGAATAGTGAGATGGGTGGCGTATATATTTAATAAAGAAATAGTCTGTCCTAATTTTTCGTCAAATGCATTCTTCTTTTGTCCTAACTTGGCTACATAACTATGTGGGTGTTTTTGAAGATGCCCACATATGGAATGGACAAGAAGGCATTATTTCAGCAGCCAATAATCACTAGTAATCTTGGTATTTGGTCATCCAAATTTTGTACACATTCTACACATTCAGATATCTTAACAAATGATTGCATCAGGTAAGATTTTTGCAACAGTATCATTGATTGTGCAAAATTTGAGAATAGCCAACACTCTAGAAGGCTTAAGACACAGAAGGATCTTTTTTAAAAAAATATATATTTTATTAGATTTTATATGGGTAGGGAACAGGTGGGGTCGGGGCGGGTACAGGAAAATTGGGATAAAGGGAACAGGGTGTGGATAGCTACAGTAAATACGTGATTCAGCAAACAAGCTGTCATCCGGGTCTTCATATTGAGTATTATTGTTTATACAAGACATTTATAAGAATAAATCGGTATAGTTACAACTGACTTTTGGTAAAACAGTAATATTCCTTTAAATAATTAACATAGTCAATAGCATAGAAACTATTTCCAATCATCAAGCTTAATACTTAATATAATAAAGCTCTAAAATTTCTTCTTATTCTAACGTGTTTCAACCCACTAATAAAATTTTCCCCAGGTTTTATAGAAGATTGAATCCTCTTTCTCCTTCATCTCTAATGTTAATCTGTCCATTTCTGCACAATCTAGGATTTTCAAAATTATAATCTGGTCTGATGGTAGGTTTTCATTTTTCCAAAATTGGGCGAATACTATTCTTGCAGCTGTCAATACATGTAATATTAAATAATCATTTTCTTTGCCGTAATTAGGTCTTAATATATCTAACAGGAACAGTTCTGGTTTAAATTCTATCTGGATTTTCATCATCTTTTCTAACCATCTATGAATCTTAGACCAATATTTTTTTGCAATAGAACAAGTCTACCAGGCATGATAATAAGTACCTGGTTTTTGCTTACATTTCCAACATGTATTCGATAAATTTTTAAACATTTTCGCTAAGCGAACTGGTGTCATCTGCCATCATAAGTTTTCTTTGTATGTTACTGCTTTAGTAAGTTTGATATTTTTATTCCACAGTTTTTGTCAGTCTTCTAATTCTATAGAATATCCAAAGTTCTTTGCCCATACTATCATTGTCTCTTTTACTTGTTCTTCTTCCATCTTCCAATTTAATAAGTATTTATAAAGCTTCTTAATCAAATGTTCATCTATTTTTAAAAGTATTTTATCAAGTGGAGTCAGCTCTTTGTAAAGTCCCATTGTTTTTATCTTGTTTGAATTTGCAAATAGGACCATGTTAAGTCAATACCTTCTTATTGAAGGGCTTGCCTGTCTTTGAGTTTTCCGTCCTTATCCAAAATGTCTTTATAACTAACAAGTTTATCATAATTAATCAGATTCGGATAAGCAAATGCTTCCATCGTTGAAAGCCACTCAGGAATTTTCATATACATTTTGAAGACACAGAAGGATCTTGACAGACTTGAACATTGGGCACTATCTAACAAAATGAAATTCAGTGGTGAAAAAAGTAAGATTCTACATTTAGGCAAGAAAAACCAAATGCACAGGGGTATCTTGCTCAATAGTAGTAACTGTGAAAGGAATCTCGACGTCCTAGTGGACAATCACTTAAATGTGAGCCAGCAGTGTGCTGAAGCAGCCAAAAAAGCCAACACAGTGGTAGGCTGCATTAATAGAGGGATAGCATCAAGATCATGTGAAGTGTTAATACCACTTTAAAATGCTTTGGTAAGGTCACATTTGGAATACTGTATCCAGTTTTGGTCACCACGATGTAAAAAAGATGTTGAGACTCTAGAAAGTTTTTTTACCTGTATGTGCCCTGTCTTGGGGATGAGATTGAAAGATTCAAAAACCCTTCAAAGATTTTTAAGAGAAAGATAAAGTTTACTCCGCAATTATTTTTGTTGGGTATTATTATAGATTTTGATGTTAAAGAAATTAGTTTGATGTTGAATCTTATAACAGCTGCAAGACTATTGGTGGGATAATATTGGAAGAAAAACTCACTGCCTACCTTGGAAGAATGGATACTTAAGTTGTCTAATTTAGCAGAAATGGCGAAAATCTCCACCTACTTGAAGGATCAATCACAAGAAAAATATATTATGGTTTGGAGAAGATGGATTGATTACATTCAAAAGAAATATGAAACTGAAAAGTATTATTTTGCATATGAGTAGATTTTAGATAATTATTAATAGTTTTAATTATATTATTTTTGTTTTTAATTTGTTAATATTTGCTTTGAAAAGGAGTTAAAGTGTGTTATGGTTTTGATTGATAGTATAGTTGGTTAATGTTAGTTAGATTATGTTTGTTTATTTGTTACCCTGTAATCAGCTCTGGGAAGTGGGGGAGGGGTGGGATTGGGTGGGAGGGGTTTATATTGTAATTTGTAAAACTTAATAAAAAAAAACCTTCAAAGAAGAGATGGCTCATACTTGGGAGAAGCAGGGAAAACATTCAAAAAGACTTAGGCTAGAACAGAGGAAACAAATAGATTGATATTTAAAAGGGAGAAATATAAATGTAAGAAAAATTAAACACATACAGGATGGGGGTAATCTGATTTAAGAGCAGGACATGTGGAAAGGGCTCGGATGTACTAACAGTGTCATGAAGCTGCAAAGAAAGCCAAGGACATCTTGAGCATCAAGAAGAACATGGAGTCCAGATCAAAGGAAGTGATTTTCCCACTACTCTGCCTTGGTCATACCTCACGTTCTGGTTTTTTTAATCCTTCATTACCAATAACCTTTTAGGAATAAAAGATCATGCCTTCTGTTTAGTTTTTTTCCTAGTATGCTGTGATATATTTTTACTTAAAATATAATTTCTAAATGTGCATTATATATTATGCATACTAGACATACTATTTAACAAAATAAATTACATTAATGGGAAGCTTATATTACAGGGGGCACAGACTTGTAGATGCTGAAAAGTGTGCAGCTCCCCATACTGTATTTAAATTATTTATATGTAACATGTTTGCATTCTTTTTAATAAAGAGATACAGAAGTACATATATACCTTAAGTTCTGCCCCAGAGGTTCATATGCCGCAAGTTCCATGGGGTTATCTTAGTGACATTGTATCTTCTTCTGATGTCTACCTTGGATGATTCCCCAGACTCCTTCTCAGATGTCAACTTAGTGGAGGATGAGCCCATTCCTGGCAGGTCAGGAGTTGAATTGATTGATGACTCTGAACTACTCAGACTACTCGAGAAGTGAAAGCCCCGTCTGTCTTGATGGGCTGCATTGGAAATCTGACTATTTATCACAGCAGACGGAGGCATTGTTTTCTAGCTGTGTGTTTTTGGGCGTGTTTCCTGCTTCACTCTTGATTGGCACAGTGTTTGGAATTGATTCACACCTTGTAGACTCTGGATTTTTCTTGGCTTGTGAGCTCTCTTGTGTGTGGATTTAAGTTTGTCTGGTAGA